GGCTAGGAGTTGCAGCTAGTTTTAGCCATGGTTTATCATGATCTTTTTAGATACAATCTAGATAGTTCATTCATTGGTTTGTTTTTACTTCCTGTCTAAGCTATCTGCCAAAAAGCAGAAATGTGACAGCTACAAGAGAAAACGGCTGTGTAGGCTGAATCACTCCTGCTTTTACTAAATTAGCCTTTCTAATATACCGCCCCTCTTTATTTCTCCCTGAACAACCTTTCCCCAGCAGAATACACAGCTTTCCAACTGTTGCTAAAAGAGAAGGGAATTTAAAATAACAGCAGTCAAGTAGAAGTGCCCTTACTGAGTACACTGCTGGAAACCCCAATTACTACAGCCCTAAGGTGCAGCATGAAGAAATGAACTTTGTTTATCTTTCTGCTTCAGTGCATATTCTAGAGATGTTTCAGAGAAACTCCAAATCCCAATCCAATCATCTTGGCCAGGAATCCCTACAAAGGGTTGCACTCTTGTGCTCCCCAAGCCAGGCTCAATGGCTCAGAGGAGTTTGATTTGTCTATACATCCTGATATATGTGTTGGGAGATAGTTCAGCTCCCATCCTGCCCTATCACATAACTGGCCTTACGTGTTCATAGCAAACTGTGATGATGCTAAAGTGATGAGTGGAAATATATTGTTGAAATAGTACCTGAATTATTATGAAACAAAACACGGAGGGATTGGATAGCTAGAGCTTGACGTAACCTATTAGCAGCCTTGTTTGAGTAAAATGTCACCTGTGTAAATACATTCAGTGCATGGCTAAAGAACAGCTTTAAAATAAAGACATATCAAACTGATAGATTGATTGATTGATTGATTGATTGATTGATTGATTTTGTCAGATTTATATGCCGCCCTTCTCCCGCAGGACTCGGGGCGGCTCACAATAATAAAACAACCCGACAATAAATAAGAGTTAAATAAAATTAAAACCAATTTAAAATCTCCAATCCCCAAGTTAAAATCCACAACAGATCAGGGAAGTTGGTGAAAAAGCCATGTCTTTAGGCACGGAAGGTGCGGAGATTGGGGGCTGTCCAGAGCTCGGTGGGCAACCTATTCCAGAGGGTCAGTGCGACTACAGAGAACGCCCTCATCCTGGGGATCGCCAGCTGACACTGTCTAGCCGAGGGGACCCGGAGGAGGGCAGCCCTCCCTGCAAAAATGATTAATGAACAAAATAACCCCAGAATGAACAGGAAGATATTTCATTCCAGACCAACCTTATTGTATCAAAGATGAGTCTAGAACAGCTGGGTAGACATGAGAACTAAGACCCAATGATCAATAGCTAAATTCCCCATTCTGATAAATGAAGATGTTTTTGACCAGAAAACACATTTCCTTTCTAAAAAGGGGATTAAATTGTATTAATACTGCAATTGGAGTAATTGAAAATGGCTGGCCAGAGATGGACACATTGTTTCACCTTAGTACAATACAAGGAGAAAAGGAGGCTAGTTAATTTAGTTAATTTTAGATCATCATCTACCCATAATCAACTGTGTACACTCCATAGCACAGGTGTCATATTTGCCACGTCACGTTGCTGTCAGATGTTTTGCAACATTTTTCCCATTCACAGAGCTGGGGTGGGCGTGACCTACGTATTATGCCTCCGGCCTGCCAGTTTGACATCCCTGCTCCATAGCATCTCCCTTTCAGCATTCATTTTGACAGTGCTACTGACAATCAACTCTTTTACCTTGAACTGATGGCTAAATTCGCTTACAGCAATGTTTCTCAACCTTCACTGCTTTAAGATGTGTGGATTGCTGACGGGGGAATTCTGGGAGTTGAAGTCTATATTTCTCAAAACAGCCAAAGCAGAGAAACACTGGCTCACAGTCTCTTCTATTTTAATCACTTTTTTGGTGGCAGCAATTAAGTAGGAGAATTAGAATCGTAAATTTGGTTTTTATTTCTGTGTGTAACTTATAAATGAGCAATTATTAAGTATCCATTACAAGCTGCATAATGCAGGTGTGAATGATACATGTACGCAAGGTGTGGAAATCACAGCCTGTAAGGATTTCAACAAAGACTGACTATGATAGTTTGACACATGATTAACCAAGCTAATTACAACCACCTGGAGTTTGGGATATGTTTCCACCAATTTTAGGGAGAGAATTTTAAAATTCTTCTTCCTTATCACAGAAAGTGTTATAATTGTAAGCCAGTAATGAAAGCCAATGTCAAATATTATTTTCTTGGAACAACTGATCAAGATATTGGTGGTCTACTAGATCCAGATGCATTTATATGAAAATAATTATCTGGAAGCAATTTGGGTTGGCATTCCATTTGAGATACACAATGAAACTGCTTTGGTAATGATATCTACCACTACAACTCTATACCATCCAACTCAAGGAAATAATCAACACCCTGATTGCCTAATCTCCATTATGAGTTTGAAGAGAGACTGGGTGAGAGAAAATAAAATGAAATTAAATCCAGACGATGTGAAGATGCTGTTGATTAAAAATAAAGCAGTGAGCCGGACTGCTAACTATAACATCACTTAATGCTTGTTTTGAAAGCTCTGTGCAGGTTGCCAGTTGCCTACTGGATACAATTGCTGCAATTGATCTTTAAACTCGTAAATTGCTTAAGACCTAATCATTTGATGGACTTCCTTCCCCTACTATGAATGTTGGATTAGGAGAGGCCCTTTGAAAAATGCCCCTAATGCCAAAACCCCAACTATTAGATACAGAGGAGAGGGCCTTCTTCTATATGTCCCAAAGGTGATTTTTTTCAAGGGGGAACTGGACTTTCTGGTTTTTCTTTGAAGACGTTTTGCTTGTCATCCAAAAAGCTTCTTCAGCTCTGAAGAAGCTGAAGAAGCTTCAGACAACCATGACCTGGATGATTGAGAATCTCCATAGACATTCTTCTATATGATTTACAACCGTCTCCAAGGAAGTTTATTTGGTCCCCAGTCTGTCAAATGTTTATAAAATGTCAAAAATGCATCTTTTTTGGGGGCTATGGATTTTTAATCTTACTAGCTTTAAATCTGAAAAAAAAATATTTTTTAAACAAACAAAACATAAAACATTGATCATCCATTACAATTGCAAACAGTATGTCAATCGGTTACAAATCCCCTATGCTTCTTCCCCATATTCGTATTTTACTAATTTCTCATATTTTCAACCTGATGTATATCTTTATGTCATTATCCTCATTTGTCAATTATTTAACAATGGCATTATCATTCCAAAGAAAATTATTTTCACATACTACAACATTCATTTTATATTTCATATTTCATTTCCATGTTTTATTATCTAGCCATTGGTAAAATAAATCCCATATCTTATATATCGTTTATCTTCTTGTTCTCTAATTTCAAATGTCAATTTACTCATTTCAGCACATTCCATGATTTTCTTAATAACCTCATCTTGCGTAGGTATTTTCTCATTTTTCCAGTTTTTAGCAAACACAATTCTAGCCGCTGTCAATACATTCACAATCAAATATCTCAATTCTCTGTTGTATGTTTCCGGCACAATTCCTAATAAAAAAAATCTCTGGTTTAAAGTCTATGTGTTTTTTTGTCATTTTTTCCAACCATGTGTATATTTTAGTCCAGTATCTTTTAGCTTCTACACATGTCCACCACATATGGTAATATGAGCCCGGTACCTGATGACATTTCCAGCACTTTTCAGATTTGTTCTTGAACATTCTGGCTATTCTCGTTGGGGGTAAATGCCACCTGTCTCTAGCTTTAAATTTGATGGTATTGATTTTCCTTATGGTTTATAATTTATTTTTTGCTATGTTCTAAACTGCTTTGAGTGCTTATAAGGTATATAGAAAGGTAGAGTATAAATTTAATAAACTCATGCACACCATAGTTAAGCAGCTTTAGAAATAAAATGTGCCAGTTTGACCAGGGGTGTCAAACTCGCAATGACACGTTGTCGTCACATGACGTATCACAACTTTTTCCCCCTTTGCTAAACCGGGGGTGGGCGTTGCCAGCGCGTGATGCATACGGCCTGCAGGCCGCTAGTTTGACACCCCTGGGATAATCAGTTCTAATTCAAACTCAGTTGATCCCTTGAGAGGAAAACATTCCCTTCTCTGATTGGATGGACTGGAGGCTAAAACATATAAAGGTTGCTGGAATTGGGTATGTCTAGTTTGATGAAGAGAAGGACTAGGGGTGACATGATAGCAGTCTTCCAATATATCTCAGGGACTGCCACAAAGAAGAGGGAGTCCAGCTAGTCTCCAAAGCACCTGAGGGCAGGACAAGAAGCAACAGGTGGAAACTAATCAAGGAGAGAAGCAACCTAAAACTGAGGAGAAATTTCCCGACAGAATAATTAACCAGTGGAACAACTTGCCTCCAGAAGTTGTAAATGCTCCAACACTGGAAGTTTTAAAGAAGAGATTGGATAACCATTTGTCTGAAATACTATAGGTTTTCCTGCCTAAGCAGGGGGTTGGACTAGAAGACCTCCAAAGTCTCTTCCAACTCTGTTATTGTTTTGCTGCCATCTACTGGGGGTAGGATACTGGTGGAAATGCCCCAAGAAATTCCTTCTTTAATAGATCCACACACACACATACACACCCCTTTAAAAAAAACAAAACACCACTGTCCATTTCACTCATTCAAAGGAAAGAAAAAGCCCCCCTTAATTTGCAGCCTCTTGAGCACTGCCCAAAAGCCAAGGATGTTCCAGACTTTGTATCTACAGCAGCCACAAGTGGCTGATGTTTGGTGACCTTCCAGTAAGACATTAGCAATACAAGGAAGAAGCAAACACAAGCAGTGCCCCCCCCCCAAAAAAAATCTCACTTTGGTCACGTTGAGACATCGCAAAACCAATGGGTTAATAATAATAATTTGTGCAACACTGTGACTGAAGCCTTTCTGCCATCCTCTTTTAAGAATTCATTTTTATAAACACAAATTACAAAACAATGCAGTTAGAAAGAAAATCATTACACGAAACATTTAAGTACATTAAGCCGGTTTAATAATTTTTATGTAGAAAAACAATCAAGTATGAATTGCATTGATTTATCGTACAAATCCCTCTGGACTGTATACAAAATAAGTATGGCTAGTCAAACAGCAACAGTAAAATAAATATTTAATTTTTATTTTCAAAAGAAGCTGGCTTAAGGAAACTCCCATTGTCTCAGCCTCAAGTGGTTGCTCAGTGGGACAATTCAGATTAAAATCAGTGCTGTACATGCATAACTCTTCCTTCTATACAGTGAAATACAGCAGACTGACTACAAATGATAGGAGAACATCTCAATAGGAAGAGGCATCAGCATCAAATAGAACTCCAAATAATTGTTTGATTCATAACCCTCTAAGAAAAGGTAAACAAGGCTCACTGAAATCAAACTGAACAGAAGAGAAACAGAAATGACATCCAATGTTCAACCTGGCAATAGGGACACCATTGGAAATCTTTCACCAAACCTATTTTGCCATTAGCCACTGACAGGGTGAAGTATCTTATTCATTTCTCCCAAAACTGATGTAGAATCTCAGGGTCAGTAACTTTTTCAAGTATTGGATGCCTACTTTTTTTCATTACCTGAAATACTGTAAAATGAGGTACTATGTTATCAACATCAGCGGTACAGAATCCAGGAGCTGAACTTGTAGTATCTCTAAGAGTGAACTCTCCACAATACAAAGCTGGCACTTTCTGTCACTGCCTGAACTAACTGGATTCAGCCCTTGAGTAATGAGCAACCTTGTAAAATGGCTGCCACTGTAAGAACTCAACCAAGAAACTAGTGACCCTTTCTATAAGGCATAGAACTTTGGAGGGGAATAATCTGTCAAATACTCAGCCCAAATGAATCATGAAATGGACAATAAGGCTGTGCATGCTTTGAAAATGATTGGGAAAAGGTGCTTTGGAAGACATAACATCTCTTTAAAGGAACAGTGGGGGTTTTTTTTCAGGCTTTCAAGGATCAGCATTCTCCAAACATTATTTATTTATTCCACCAGTACCAGCCTTCCCAAGAAGGACCATAGAAAGTAATACACGAATTGTCAAATTTCACTGAGAACTGGTCTTTGTCAGGTTCAATCTTTCCGCTGAACAGTATTCATTAGGGCCTGGTTTATCGGTGTTCTTCAAAAGGCCACTTACTCAGCCACCTGTAAAAACTCTGAAGTGAAGACAGCTTCTGCATAGTCCTCACAGAAGCCATGGAGCTCAGCTGCTACATCTGTCAATATTTCTTCTGTTAGCTCCTCTGCCAGGCTAAAAAGAAAGAAATGGAAGTAGCTCAACAGCCAAGACCTGAGTTCCAAAGTTTCTACAACACGGGTGTCAAACTCGTGGCGTCACATTGCCGTCACATGACGTTCCGCGATGTTTTTTTCTCTTCGCGAAACGGGTGGGCATGGCCTGCGCGTGACGCATGTGGCCTGCAGGCCGCCAGTTTGACACCCCTGTTCTAAAACATCCTACAACCTGATCCAGAGCAGCAGCATGTAGACCTCCCTCTCCTTTTCCACTCACTTCTCTCAGTTCTGGTGTCCACCCTTCAAGATAGGCCAGACTAGGAAAGCGAAGTCATGCAGGCCAATATTACTGTTTGTTATAAAGATACCATAACAACATCTTTCAAGCGTGAATGGTCTTCATCCCTCTCTCTATTTATCTCTTGAGAACTACAGAGAGTGTTGCATGAGATGTTTACTCATATCCCTGGGCTTTTTTAAAAAAAATATTTTTTAATTCCACCTTCATTATTTTTTATAAATAACTTGAGGCAAATGTAACTAATATTCCTTCCTCCTCCTATTTTCCCCACAACAACAACCCTGTGAGGTGAGGTGAGCTGAGAGAGAATGGCTGGCCCAAAGTCACCTAGCCAGCTTTCATGGCTAAGGCAGAACTAGAACTCATAGTCTCCCGGTTTCAACACTGTGGTGCCTTAATTTGCTCAAGTCCATTCTGGACTCAAGGTTTTTTTTTGTGATAGCACCTCTTTTCCTCTTGTCCCTCAAAACCATACCCTACAACTAACAAGAAAGAACTGGCAGGCCACTTCTGAAAAATGCTGCTAAGAAAACTGCAAGAGTCATCAAGAGTCAAAACCGACTTGAAAGCGCCAATTTTGTCCTCTGTCACAGATGCACTGCTGTCAACCAGCTGATCAGGGCATAGGCAGCAGCAACTCCATTTGACACCTGTTGCTAACCTTATGTCTTCAGCAGCATCCTTATTGCCTGAACCTGGGGGAACTGTTCCCTCAACCCTCCCTTGGTGCACCACAGTCCTGACCCTACCATAAAGGGATGCCACACATATGTGAATCAGGTATGAGAAAGAGCCTGTGTCCCACTGGGGGTGGGCTTGAAGAAAACAGGAACAAAAACATTAGCTATGGCAATTGGGGAAGAAAGTAGAAACTGTGAGAGCAGCTACTCTTGACAATCCCTCTAAAACAGAAATGTGAAGGAAGGTGACAAGATATCCAAGAAGGTGATTCGTCTGAAAAATTAAATGATATTCCAACTAGACAAAGCAATTATTTTTTGCCCCATTGGAAAATTGTGAAAGGAGCCAGAGAAAAACAAAGGCAGAAAAATGGAAAAAAACAGAAGGAGATAGACTGCCACCTAATGGCTCTAAAAGAACCCATAACACAATTCTCTTCAACCCCTTAACTCGGTGTTTCTCAGCTTTAGCAACTTTTAAGATGTGTGGACTCCAACTCCCAGAATTCCCCAACCAAGGGAAACACCATTTTCTGACAGTGAAGTCAGGGTTTTTGAAATAAAAAAGCAAATTCCTCCAGAAGATACAAAGAAAGCAAGCACGCCAAGATTCCCCATACCTCTCTGCAATGTTCCAAGGGTTAAACTGCCCCACCTCTTCGAGGAAAATGCCCTTCAGGTGCTGCCGGTATCGGGCATCATAATCAGAGAGGCTTTGGAGAACATGTTTCGGTACTGAGAGGAAAGTGCCAGACTCTTTCTGTGGGGGGATGTGATGTGTAAAAGACTGCAGAGTCCCACTCCTGGGCTCTGACAGCTCTTCATCTACAGCGCTGAAAGCACAAATACAACCAGAATTAGGAAAAAATAAGCCCTAAAATTGGATCAGACCAAAAGCCTCTACTTCACTGAGACAGTCTTATTATAACTAACATCTACAAGAAGCTGGGCACGATGGCAATTGTCTTCTCCCCCATTTCTTTCCCTGAGCCTGCTATACAATGGATTTAGAATTCCCAAATCAAATTCATAGTTCAAAACCAATAGGATCTCACTACAGTACAGCTGTTAACTCTTTCTGTAGTCCTCTGCCTCTTTAGCAAGCTTGGCTTATTCTTCTCAGGCTCACTTAAGCTTAAAACAGACCATCTACTGTCCCCCAAGTTTATTTAAATGCTCACTTCCCCTAACCGTAGGTGCTTGTTCCTTTCTAACCCATCTCTTGTGTAACTTCAACCACTGATTCTAGACCTCAACTATCTGTCTCCCGAACAATTAAAGAAAACAATAAAGGCAAGCAAGTTTCAGTGAGAAGGTGAAAAGTCAAAGAAAGAAAAGCTGCTTCTCTTTCACTTCAGCCCACCTTCCGACTTTCATTGATCTGTTCACGTTGAAAGTTTTAATTTTGCTGTGCTCATAAACTTCTCTGAAGAATCATGTGAAGCAAAATGGTGGGCTAGATAGAACTGACTCAGTCTATTTATCCCTAACGTTCCTATCTACCTAGTTCCCAGAGTCCTTAAGCCCTCCCTTGCTTTTATTTTCCTGAAGTACTAATATTACTGCTGTCCTGTGATAACTTGATAATTTGATTATTCCTAAACACTCCATACATTCTAGCCAAGGGGGCAAATCCACTTTTAGCATCAATAAAGATGATGCTGTTTAAGCACAGTAAGCTGTTAAATTTCTTACTCACCTGGCATCCAAGGGTTTTTCCAACACTATGGCTACTTGTGGCTCTTTGTGATTATCTAGTTTTGTTATCTGGATGGGATGAACAACTGCATGTTGTTGGTTTCTCACTACAGACTCTTCCTCTAGGAAAAGGAATTGTTAGAAAAATAATTACCTCACCAATACCAGAGCAGACAAGCTCCCACTGTATTTCAAATTCCATCTTCCCCATTCAGTTAACATATTTTTATAAAAACATAAGCCAAGAAGAATCTATGGAATATTTATTTGCTGACCATGAGTTTATCTAAAAGACTATGTAATAGTATCAACCACGTCTGTTTCCTTCATTTCTACAATATACACATATTAAGAATGTAAAAATATATACTCACAACCACTGAATGAAAGAGAACCATTCACTGCTCAGCTGTTATTTCTTAAAAATCCAAAACCAAACCAGAAGCTCACCTTTGCTCTCCTGGACCCAGAAATCAACATCAGCGTAAGCAATCTGGTTGTATCGTCTGCGCACAGTTTCTTGATAGTGCTTAAATATAGAAAGATAAACCCAGTATTAATCAAATATTTTAGTTAGTTTGACTGGGTTTGGGAAAGACTACGAGACTGACAGATTAAAACACTCCTAGTAAAGGAAACGGCTCTACTTTTATGCAATGAGAAACTTTAATTAATGGAGAATTCAGAATGGGGAGAAATTATCTTTTCTCTCTCTGGAAAAAAGTACTTTTATACAATACTTTTTGTACAGGATACAATAAATGTACATTATTTATGTTCTGCCACAAGCTAGCAGGGCTCTGGGAAGCCTATAAAAAGACAAAAGAAACATAAAATCATATAACCCCAAAGTGTCCAATTTGGGGATCAAAATTTGATGATGAATAAGGGCAAGAGAAATGGGAGTATTGGCCAGAATAACTCTCTCTACATTTCTAGCAGTTTGGGTATCTCCAAGTAAAACCATCAGAAACCTCAAGGAATCTTCAATAAAGGAGAGCAGAGCAGAGCAAGCCCTAAATTTATAAGACACAAATTTTGGCAGAAGGCAGCCTTCCCCAATTAGCACTCTATGCTGGTTGAGAAAGAATTCTGAGAATTACAATCCCAATACATCAGAATAATGTCAGATTAGGAGAAGATGGAAGAAAGGATAGAGTAGAACCTGTGCTATTTCTCCCCGTTTTTCTCATGTGCAAAAATGCCAGATAGCACACAACAAATACAGTAGGTTGGGTTTTTTTCCCCTTGTAGGATGACAAAATGCAGCGCCAGAAGCAGCAAAATACAGCAGAGTCTCAAGATATTTCTTGAGCTCAGTGCTTGTAGTGCCTGACACCCCCCCCCCCCCCCGAGAGATCTCAAAGCAAAGCTCAATAACCTGACGCACAGGCATAGGTCAGCAACCAACAAATGAATGCACCTCTATTTCCTCCATCCTCTTCATCATTGTCTCCAGGTCAGAGATGCTGAGTGCAGAAAGAGCGTCATGTTCCATCTTCTTGAACTGTTCCAGATGGCAATCCTCCAAACAAATACCTGGTAAGCTTATTGCATCCTAACAAGAGGGGAAGGGGGAGGGGAGAGGGAGGGAGGGAGTGTGTGTGTGTGTGTGTGTGTGTGTGTGTGGAGAGAGAGAGAGAGAGAGAGAGGGAGGGAGAGAGAGAGAGAGAGAAAATAGCTTATTGTGTTCTCTAAAACTACTTGCCCAACACAAAATATCCACTGGGAGAAGCCGAGCCACAAAGCATCTTCAGTGACCCCAAATCATGTTCCATGAATTGTAACACCCTATAGTATTAGAGGTACATCGTATTTCCCCGGGGTCCAGTTCTGAATGGTTATACCACAAAGATCCCCCCAGACCAATCCTTCTTTCCAAGGAGAGATACAATTTCTAATGCAACAAAAATATATCAGTTAGTCAAGATGGCCGACATCACCTCAGTTTGAATTAGGAATTCTGGTATCATGTTTCCCCGAAAATAAGACTCTGTCTTATATTTTTTTGAACCCCAAAATAAATACTTGGCCTTATTTTCGGGGATGTCTTATTACTTTTTTTTTTAATTTTATTTTATTTCTATACCGCCCTTCTCCTGTGGGACTCAGGGCGGTGTACAGCCGAGATAAAACATAGCATATAAAATTTAAAAAACAGTTTAAAAAACAATTAAATAATTTTGGCCCAAAATTTAAAACAACCCAATTAAAACCGAATTCAATTAAAATTGAGAGGATGGGATAAAGCCAGCACGTGGAGTGAGATGGGGCTCTTCTTGCCGTCTTACCTGATTTCCAGCTCTCTCTCCCTAACCCTAACCAGAGGAAATGGCGGGAACTGGCTGCGCATGCATTTAAATATTTTCGGGTTGGGCTTATTTTCAGGGAGGGCTTATTTTCGGTGGGGGGCTTATTTTAGCACATGCGCTGAAAAGCCCAATTGGGCTTATTATCAGGGAATGTCTTATTTTACGGGAAACAGGGTAGAAGGGCCAATAAAATAAACTCGGTTTAAGAGCATTTATAGTTTCTTGAGCAGCTCTCTTACTACTAGCTACAAAATTAATAATCACTCAAAAATAATTTATTACTGGATAATGTTAAAGTATGGTCAGTTGCTCTTTCAGAAAAAGTTACTGATAAAGTTCAAATGATTTTGCAGAAGTATGAATCACATTTTTATTGGACTCTTGGCAAAGCGTAGAAAAATGTAATATAAAACAACTCCATACAAAAAGAAAAACACAACTGGATGAATTGAAAGAAAATAAAATTGGTAACAACTCAAATCAAGGCTCTGAAAAAATTTAAAGGCTTGTGGAAAACCAGCAGAGGGAACCAGCCTAGTTTCCCCAGAATGACTATTTCCACAATATAGATGCTGCAACAAAAAAGGATAACTATATAACTTATGCCAACTTATTTTAATAAATTTAGTGTTATGTGAAAATTATGATTGAACATTGAAATATATTGTTCTGGGTTATTGTCCTGTATTTTGGTTTCTTCTTGCCTTACAGAATATTAGTGAAAAAAACTAAAAATGAATATGTGGAATATGCTCTATGGCAGTGATGGCTAACCTTTTTGCCGTCGCGTGCCAAAAGCGGGGGGACAGCGGGGGGGATCGTGCGCATGTGTGCCCACACCCATAATTCAATGCCCTGCCCTCCCGCGCATGTGTGCATGCTCCCCCCGCGCTCCCCCCGCTTTTGGCACACGATGGCACAGTGGGCCCATTTTTCACTCTCCCCAGGCTCCAGAGGCTTTCTAGGAGCCTGGGGAGGGCAAAAATGGCCTTCTTCAACACCCTCCGGAGGCTCTCCGGAGGCCGGAAACAGTCCATTTCCCAAATTCTGGTGGACCCGGAAGGCCCGAAAATCAGCTGGCCGGTGGCCACATGTGTGCTGGAGCTGAGCTAGGGCAACGCTCGTGTGCCCTCAGAAATGGCTTTGCGTGCCACCTATGGCACCTGTGCCATAGGTTCGCCATCACGGCTCTATGGTGAAATTTGTTTGGCTTTAGAATCCTTTAAAGCTCTTTTTTTTGGTCAAGATACTCTTGGAACAATGTTGCAAAGATAAATTACTTTAGGGGATAGGGATGGTTAAATACATAACCCATTTCAAAAGAAAGCAGGAAGAAAAGTCTGGCACGTTTTCTAATTACTTTGTAAAGTCTGACACTTTTTGCATAAATTATCACGCACTGGATTCCCAATGTGAAACTGTTTAACAATCAAGTGAGCTGAGGTGGGGAGAGGTGGTTTCACACGGACTTTGTGATGTATTTCGACAACACGGCATTCAATGCAATGGAGAAAAAGAATTAAACCTGAGAGCCACATTTGTTTACAAAAGTGGAGTTTTCGTTTCACCCATAACCACATTCAACATCTATTTTAGACAGCTAAACTTTTCTGTACCCTTTTTAAAGCCATTTTTCTCCCAGGTCTGCCTGAACAAGTAATGCAGGGATTGGCAACCATATTTCTACAGCATCTGTAAACTTACTTTACAGGTATTTTTGAAAAGATAGAGAGGGAAAATAAGTACCTCATAAAGAAAGGCAACATTTTCAGACTTCCTTATTTGAGTGCCGTCGTTGCCCTGTAATGGAAGGACTGTGTATGCTGCCTTGAGCTCCTATGTGAAAAGCAGGATATAAGTCTAATTAATGAATTAATTAATTGTAATAAGCATGACTCAATTGTTGCCTTATAAGCCTTACTTCTTGCATTTAGCCAAGGCAACAATTTTACTTGCCGTCCAGGCTGATAACAAGAGGTAAGACTTTGGAAGCAAGAGTTGAGTCAGACTCAACTTATGTGAAATATCCAGCCTTGAGATGCTCTTCAATAAAAATTCTGGAAAGAAAGGAGGAAGTTATTTCTTCAGTTCATCAACAAGGAAATATGTCAAGAAAATCAAAAGAAAAAGAGGAAGAATGACATACTCTACCTGCGCTTTTTCCAAAAGAAGCTCCAGGCCCTCAGGATCAGCTTGCTCCACCTCCTCTGTTGGGGAAGTCCCATTGTCCCTGAAAAATTTCAACCAACACAACACAGTGGCAATCTGATGAGTCATGTCATCTTTTTAAAATGTGACTAACAGAACACACATTAATAATAGTAGGACAGCATAATTCAGCATCTCTCCAGACTGGGCACTCTGAAGCCTATGCCTTTCAGAGTGCAGGATTTTATAATAATATGGAAGGGCCTAAAATCTTTCCCATTTTCATTCCTGAGAGATAAGACTGAAACAGCAAAATATATTCCAGATTTTAATTCTTTCCTCACCAAATGCAAAAGAGTACACAAAAAAAGGGAAATAGACCCAGGAACTGGAGCTTCTAAGCTTCTTCCCACAGCTCAAAATCACAGAATTTGGAAGCCTTTTCCAAAAGTGAAAAGCCAACCGATGCCTTGGTCATCACTTCTGCTCCTATCCAAGTAAGTACTGAAGACTATATAGAACATTGTCAGAAGAGATGAAATAATGATGTCAGGTGATTATTTAGATCCGAAATCTTATTTTATTCCCCTGGGAAAAGATAGTGAGATTTTTCTGTTGCAATATTCTTGTGAAATGTTGCTCTACTCTTGACATCTGACAAGATAAGGTCAAGTACCAAGCAGGTGTAAGGACTTAGTTAATTGTACATATAGTTTTCAAAGAAAACAACACGAGAAATGTATAGACACAGCTTTTTGTGAAAACATGGCAGTTGGGACTGCCCTATGCAGAGTTTTTCCTTTTCTCTCATAATTTTGGGAAATCATCCCAACTGCTTCTTTTTGGTCAGGATGTAAAATATAGAGTATTGGCATATTTTTTTTCCATAGCTGTTTTTTCTTTATTTGCTATATTCTACGCTGGTCTAGGAAACCAAGCCCAAGTCAGATCTATTCCCAAAGTAAATGTTCTTCCACATGGGCTTCAGTCCAAATTTAGAATGACAAATGATATCTGTTGGGGACAAAGAAAGAAAAATCTGTATCTATGAGAAAGAGCCAGTTAGATGTAGTGATTAAGGCCTCAGGACAGAAACCGAGAGTCTGTGTGTTTTTTAGGCACAAAGCCAGTTGGATGACCTTGGGCCAGCCATTCTCTGTCAACCCTCGAAGGAGGCAAAGGCAAATGACTTCCAAAACACCTTGCCAAGAACATAGCAAGGATCTGACTAGGCATGAAAAATTTACTTGAAAGGCACAGGGAGAGAGGGAGGAGCGGGAGAGGGAGAGAGAGAGGGGGTGGAGAGAGAAAGATTCCCAAAATGTATTAAAATCCACAACCTTCCACCCTCCCTTTCAGGCCTACCTGGGCACTTCTTTCTCAGGTATTTCTTTTTCCTTTGTCTCTATCTCCAGAGATGGCTCCGGATTTTCAGGATTTTTCTCCAGGTGCCTACAAGAATGTTGAATTTAAGTGGGAGAAGAAAAATAACAAGACAAGGTTATCATAACCTTTGCCATCCCACTGGCACCAATTATAAATTTCCGCATCATAAATTAATTATTGACACTGGTGTAAACATCATCTGGTGAATGAAACATTTCTTCAAGCATTCCAGAAAGAGGGACAGGAATGAGTCTCCAAAGAACATGAGGGCCTCCTCAGAAGAGGTTGACAATTGTTATAGCATACGAGCCCAAAAGGATCTCAGAAATGGTGACTACAGGGCCATGACTAAGTTTACATTCAGAAAGTTCTAGGATCATTCCATATTATCACTAGGTGATCATTGGAAATATCTGAAATTCTGCAGAATGAAGATCATACTGAACCAAATGAATCAAATATCTGATCCATCTTAGTACACAGCAGCCCTGAATGTTTCAATCTCCAGATCAAATCTCAGAAGCTATACTTGAAGAAACTATTATGCCATCTGCCATAAATGAACCATCATAAGCGTCATAATCCACTGTAGATGTTTATACCACTAACAACTGCCCTCGCAAGGGTGTTAACTTACCGCGGAGCAGAGTGGAGGGGAGACTTGACACTGGGAGGCATCCATGGGGCCCTATTATCTCGGATGGGTGGTTTGGTCTCCTTAAGCCGGAATGCAACGGTGGGATCTAGAAAGCGGGCTTGTTTGGCTACAGGCTGCACTGTTTTTGTTTTGGGAGGTCGACAGCTACCCTTTAGAGAAACAAAAACATTAAAATAATGTGTGTTTCCAGACACGTTTTAGCAGTTTTTCCTACACAACAACATCTATTAAAGCCTGCATTTCAACCACTGTAATTTTGGAGGAAAAGACATTACATCAGGGGAGAAAGTATGTCTCACAGCACCTAAAATTAAGCTTGGAGACAAGGAAGAGGAGTAGAAGCTGATGATTATATAACTGTACCTGAGGTCTGAGCGAAAACAAGCCTCCCCTCTTCTTCAGAGTTCCTGATTTCAGTTCTGCTTTCAAAGGTCCTGATTTCCTTACGGCCTCACCCTTGCACTGTGCAACTGCCCCTCGCTCAACGGGGAGTACGTCTTCCTGGGCTCTGGCAATGCAGTGATTGATTGTCTTATGTGGTAACAAGTCTGCAGATTCTCGATATTCATCTGAAGTAATTTGTTATGACAATGTTACACATATCGTATTTATTTATTATATGACCATGGCACTTTACCAAAAAAAAGTAAGAATAGTTGCATACCATAGGGCACTTACTATCTAAAATAGGGGACAGGAAAAAACAGTATGCAGCAGAGGCATACTAAAAACAGAGACAAATATACTGAGTTTGACTTAATTACAGTAGGATCTAGGGATAGGAAGCAGAGGGAATAATTTTAAGAGGAAGCAGGAGTCTATTCACATAATAAACATCCAAATAACCATTTTTTTCCCCTCAGCATCATCTTCTGGGAGTATTCAATTCTGAACCTCCTCAGTTCTGACCATCCAATTGGACCAGAAGTTAAGTTACAATGAGTTCACCCAGAAATCCCCAACTTATCTGGGTCTACAATTTTTCTGGGGGAAAATCAGACATGATTTGTAAGAATTACTAATCAAACTTCTTCCAACTCAGCACCCAGAAGACTCACCGGGAAGAAGTTTCCGAGCTACTGAAGATTTTTTTCGGTCCAATGCACAAGATTTCTTTTGTTTTTTTGGCAATCTGTTGGGGCTTTTTGGTGCATCAACTTGAGAGGTAGAGAGCCATTCCTGCCCTTTCCTGGGGGACTCCTTTTTGGACAACACAGAGTCCAAATCCTGCCATAGCAATTTGTATCATGTTAAACACACAAAAATCTTACCCTGAACACCCACACAGGATGCAAAGTTCAGGTGGATGTTCAGCCTTCTTAATCGACAAAAAGCAAAACCACCTCTGAATAAATTAGAAGAAAAAATGCTATCTGCTGCAAGATTTAGGAATAATTTTATATATAATTATATTTCTCATCCTGTGGGTACAATACATTTTTTAAAAATGAGACAAACCATGAATCTGTTGAGTCATCCTTTTAGAGATATTTCTTCATCAGATTCCTCAATGCCTTCAAAAATGACAGAACTTCTAATGTCCTGCCTTTACTAGAAAGATGTATCTGCCTTGAAAATAGCCTACAATGAACTATACAGCAGAGGCAAACATCAGCACAGGAAATGTTTTCTGACATTTATGTCATAAGCTGTTTTATTATAATTTTTTATCATAACATGTTTTATAAAATTTGCCAACTTTCAATTCTACAGGAGTCATGAGACCCAGATTTTATATACATTCTGCAAGTTAGCCCATTTGGGTTCCTTGGTTCAAAAACGGTTGCCCGTGATGCACCATTTTGCCCAGTTAAAAATTACTAAGCGCTTTAGTAGCATATAGATAACTTTAACATATTCTCAATTCGATGTGAAACTCAAGAGCAATGGCTCATTCCTTAGAGACCAAATGCCAAAACATGTCACTATTTAAGACTTATTTCAAAGGGTCGTGCCTTCTCTGGATGATGGAAATCTGCTCCTCCTCAGGAATGGTTATATTACACTGCCTTGGATGCCAAGCAAAGAAAAAACACACTCTCTCCTGACCTCAATTTGTAGCAGCAGATCTATGATGATATCAGGAATGGATGAGTCCATCTCGAGGCGAGCAGAACAGAGAGAGAGTTGCCTGATGAGATTGCCCAGCTCTTTACAATGCGCAGAGGCAGACTGTTGCTCTGACTGGTCAGCAAAATGAGTGACAAACATCTGCAGAGCTCGGATGGCACCTCTGTGAGCTGCTGCCAGCTTGGCCATAGCTCGTGACTGCATCACAAAGGAAAAAGAATTCTGGCTTGAATCAAGTAGTCTCTTCTCAAGACAGCCAGAGCAATTCCGCCCGATCTTCAAACACTAGTTCCTTGGCAGCTTGGCCAGATCCGTGGATTTCATTTTCACAAACTCCCCAGCCAGAATGGATACTGGGGGAAATTCTGAGGGTTGAAGCCCACACAACCCAAGGCACCAAGATTGGAGAAGGCATTTCTAGTCTGTATCAGAAGAATGACTATAATAGAATACTGCAAAATCAGACTGCTATGACGATACGCAAAGTAGAAACTTATGTCAGGTCTGACTGACAGGTCGCACAGCTCAGTGAAAAGCACACTGAACACGAAGTTGAAAAAGTCATCTTCTACTTGCATGCTACCAACTATTCTCCAAAAGGACCTTTCAGGGAGGCTCCAACCTCAGCAACTTTAAGATGGGAGAACTTCAACTCCCAGAATTACCCAGCCACATCTTAAAAGTTTCTGAGGTTGAGAAAAACTGTTCCAAAGCTTGTCCCTCATCACTCAGTTTTTCCCCCAAACTCATAAAGCGATTTCATCTCACCTTCTTTGTATGTTTAATTTTAAGGGGACTCAGCTTCTCCAGATCTTCTTGGATTTGTTTTACCTGTTTGATAATGCGACAAATAAATTAACAACAGAATGCAGTTTGGAAAACTCTCTGTCTGCATAATAATTTGGAAGCAAGCTATCTGGTTCAGACTGACTTGTTTTGATTCCCCAATTTGGGTCTGAAATATCTTCCCAAAGTTTCCAGAGATTGTTCAGACCTGTTGCTGGAGGACATAGAGCACTCGGGCAGAGCGCACAGCTTGTTCCTGCCTCCGAATATGGACCCGGCGTTCTTCCTCAGGATCCAGACATATTTCACTTCTCTCTGGGAAAAAAAAGTTTAGGAAAACAGTTGATTAGGCTCAGTTAAAGGTAAAGGTAAAGGTTCCCCTCGCACATATGTGCTAGTCATTCCTATCTCTAGGGGGCAGTGCTCATCTCCATTTCAAAGCCGAAGAGCCAGTGCTGTCCGAACTCGTCTCAGTGGTCATGTGACCGGCATGACTAAACACCAAAGACACACGGAACGCTGTTACCTTCCCACCAAAGGTTGTCCCTATTTTCTACTTGCATTTTTTTTTACTTTCGAACTGCTAGGTTGGCAGAAGCTGGGACAAATAACGGGAGCTCACTCCATTACATGGCACTAGAGATTCAAACCGCTGAACTGCCAACCTTTGGATCGACAAGCTCAGCGTCTTAGCCACTGAGCCACCACGTCCCTTCATATGCTTAGTTAAGAACAAACAATTTGGTGTAGAAAACATGAAATACATAACACAATTACAATTGAGAAGAGACAATGAAAAAAATGTTGGTGTCACTCAAAAGCCATCATAAAGTGTTCCAAAAACTGTATTAAATGCCCTATATCCCATAATAGCATCTTAGATCCAGACTACACAAAAGAAGTCAGCAATATTCAGACAGTTCTTCACTTTACTGTCTCAACTGTAAACCTTTAAAACTGATTTCCAAGAGTTCTTCTCTTTAATTCTTGCAGTTCAAATAATCAGCTCACAACTAGCCTCAAAACCAGTAGGCTTAAACTCAAATTATGTCACATGAGATCATTAGTCCAAGGACACAACACTGAAGCCTTTTCATACATTGATACAAAAATGAAGAAACTAAAAGTATCATAGTATGCTAGTGAGCATGTAGTTATTAAATTAAAAGTATTACTGCAAAATAGAGCAATTTCAGTCTGGCCACATATATTTGATTTGTTACTGTGTTGATACTTTTTTCCCAAGATCAGTGCTGCAGAATATCATTGCAGACTTCAGAAAATGAATAAGGGGGACCATATGTAACACATGGGCTGCAATTTTAAGACTCTAATCAGTCTGTGGGAGAATCTGGCTGCAAAGTACATATACTCTGGTTAGTAACATTGGCAAAAATAGTCTCTGGTCAAGCACTACTATTACGAACATTTCTTTGTATTGAACTGGGAGATGGCTAGCAGGATAAATGGGTGGGATAATAGACACAGAGCCTCATGCTTACTCAAGTCTTCTTTACAAGCCTCATTTAGACTTAAGAATGTAACACAACGAAGTCCTGAAAGTTAGGAACAACAGTTACAAAGACTCGTCGTTCTTTGCTGTCAGTTTGCTTGTCACAATTTTCTTTCCCTGTAAGCAGGGGTGAAATGCTCCAGGTTTGGACCGGATCACCCGATGGAGGCGGGTGGTTCGGAGAACCGGTAGCAAAAATCCCTGCCCCCCCCCATGCCCAGCTGAGCTGCACAATCATCAGAGGCTTTTTTTTTTTTTAACTTTTAAAAGTATGTTTTCTTCGGCCAAAAAATTGCTTCTAAAAGTAAAAAAAAAACCCTCTGATGATCGGGCAGCTCAGCTGGGATCGTCAGAGGCTTTTAAAAGCATTTTTTTACAACCTCTTCGGCCGAAGAGGTTGTAGAAAAAATGCTTTTAAAAGTAAAAAAAAAAAAAAAAAAGTTGGCCACGCCCACCCAGTCACATTACCCCCACCACCAAGCCACGCCCACAGAACCGGTAGTAACAAATTTTACATTTCACCACTGCCTGTAAGGTTAATCTTTTACCCACTTCTCAGGATTTGCTACAAGAATACTGGTTGCCTTGAATTCAAAGCCTCCATTCAGTGGGAAACAGACAAAGCCCATGAAGATTCTTCTGCATTACCGACTTGTATGCGGGTACCTGGTTTGTTAGGCCAAGAGAGTGACCTGTATCTCTTCTACTTTCTTATATTCATTTAAGCCAGCTTTCCCCCTTACCTTTTGTTGCTAGCAATTCAATTTTCTGAATGTAAGTCTGAAGCTCTTTTTGTAGCCTTCTGATTTCTATGGCACATTTGTCTTCCTCTTTTTTGGGGCCAGGTCCTGGATCACGTGTTGGTGGAGAATCAGACAAAGCGGGTCCTGACTTGACATGACTTGGATCACAAAGGAGGACTTTTGCTCCAGTGCTGTTCCTCTCCATCTTAGAAGGGTTACTAAGCTGGTGTTCATATTTCAGGTGGGACTTAGATGCTTCCAACACTGCAGCATTCCCTGATTCCTTTCCCCAACGAAATCCCACAGGACACTTATTCACCTTGGTGAGATGCTGCTTCACTTGCTCTTGCAGGTGCTTTCTTTTCACATCCCTTCTGGCCAGCTGAACAGCCTGGTTGAGCTTCTCTTCAGATACAACTGAGAATTCAACAGAGCTCCTCAGATCAGCTCCATCACCAGCACCTTGGTTCTGTTGAGTTGATGACTGTTTCAACTTTTCTATGATAATTGGACAGGGATTGGTGTAGTGGACTGACAGGTTTTCAGACGATGCGGGAGCATTCCGGCTGAACTTCAGCTGTTCCAAACATTTAAAACAGGCAGTGTGGTACAAGGTGAGAATTGGATTAGAATCACCTAAATGCAAATCTCTGTTTAACCAAAAAAAAAAAAATTCCTACCATTGGACAACTGAACCCATCACTCCCTAGCAGTTCAAGTGGCTTCCCAGAGTTGTGGTGAAGATTAAAAGTGGTAGTGGAGACCATTATATATGCTAGTATACCTACTCAGGTTTCTCTGTACAAGCACAGAATAAGCAGTTTACAAGGATCTTAAATTATTTCCCAAGCCAGTTGACTGAAAGGTAAACTGGATAATTAAAAATTAATCCACTTTATACTAATGTAATTATCTGACTTTAGAATAACAGAGTTGGAAGGGACCTTGGAGGTCTTCTAGTCCAACCCCCTGCTTAGGCAGGAAACCCTACACCACTTCAGACAAATGGTTATCCAACATCTTCTTAAAAACTTCCAGTGTAGGTTGGAGCATTCACAACTTCTGGAGGCAAGTTGTTCCACTGATTAACTGTCAAGTTAATTCCACAGTTCTAACTGTCAGGAAATTTCTCTTTAGTTCTAGGTTGCTTCTCTCCTGGATTAGTTTCCACCCATTGCTTCTTGTTCTACCCTCAGGTGCTTTGGAGAAGTTTGACTCCCTCTTCTTTGTGGCAACCCCTGAGATATCGGAACATTGCTATCATGTCAGCCCTAGTCCTTCTTTTCATAAGACTAGAAATATCCAGTTCCAGCAACCGTTCTTTATATGTTTTATCCTAGAGTATTCTAATTATCTTTGTTGATCTTCTCTACACTCTTTCTAGAGTCTCAACATCTTTTTTACATCATGGTGACCAAAACTGGATGCAATATTCCAAGTGTGGTCTTACCAAGGCATTATAAAGTGGTATTAACACTTCACGTGATCTTGATACAACAGGGATCTCTGTTTATGTAGCCTAGAACTGTGTTGGCTTTTTTGGCAGCTGCAGCACATTGCTGGCTCATATTTAAATGATTATCCAGTAGGACTCCAAGATCCCTCTCACAGTTACTACTATTGAGCGAGGTACCATCTGTACTCTACCTGTGCATTTGGTTTTTCTTGCCTAAATTAGAACCTTACTTTTTTCACCATTGAATTTCATTTTGTTAGATAGCACCCAATGTTCAAGTCTGTCAAGATCCTTCTGTATCTTAAGCCTATCTTCCAGAGTGTTCTGCTAGCTATTCCTGCTAGCTTGGTGTTGTCTGCAAATTTGATGAATTCCTCATCTATCCCCTTGTTCAAATCATTGATGAATATGTTGAAGAGTACTGGGCCTAAAAGCAGAGCCTTGGGGTACCCCACTGCATACCTCCTTCCATATGGAAGCAGTTCCATTGAGGACTACACGTTGTTAGCTTCTCCACAGAGAGAGCAGTTATATAGCCCAAATATATCTTATACTAATTTTAGAGGAATAATAATAATTGCTTTGCAAAAGGAAGAAGACAGATGTTGGGCCATAACTTTCTGTGATTCCTCTCATATTCCTCTGAGGTCTTATAAGACCTCCAACATAGGTCTTATACCTCAATTCATACATGGAAAACTGTAAGTTTTTTAAAGGCAAAAATCATAAAACAAATCCAGACAGGATTTTACTTACTGGTTTTATGTTAATTAATATTAAAAACACAAATCCCATTCAATATGTTTCTAAGAATCAGCATCTTCACATCATTGGTTTGTTTAAATAAAATTACAGGTTGGCAATGCTAGAATACATATTGGCAAGCTTATTACATGTTAGCATTTCATCATGTAAAATCCACAGAAGATGCTGATGTTGCACAATACCTGTATCTGTGGGGACTTTGTGTCACTTTTGGCCATTTGTGGGTGCGATGCCAAAGGAATAGTGGTTGTAGTTGCTTTTCGCAGCTCCATCATAATTTTCAGAAGCTCAAGCTCCTGTTGTTTATGAAGTTACTGAAAGTCACCAAATATTAAATTCCCATTAGCACAAACACATTCTGTTTTCTTAGCTGAAAGACACTAATTAGGCATAAGAATTTTAATTTTCCAAGCATGCTTAGAATTGCAATTCACTCATTGGCACTTACAATGCTTAGAATACAAGCGTTACTATAAACATGTTGCTTGTATCTTTCAATTTATATTGTTTTTGTTTCCTAGTACGATTTGATAGCTTATTAGTAAGCTTGACTATCACTAAGTGTTGTATCTTTTTATTCTTGATGAATGTATTTTATCCTCCTTATGTACACTGAAAGCATATACACCAAAGACAAATTCCTTTATTTATGATAAAGGAATGGAATTTAGTTATGGAATCATTTTGTTTGGTTTTGTTTTATCTATGTTTATTTTTTCAATTGGTTTTGTAGAATGTTTTAATTACTGGTTTTACTGTATGCCATCCAGAATCACTTTGTGTGAGAGGAGTAGCCCTACAAATTTGATTAACAAACTCTTACAATAGGTGAATCTATATAGCCAGCTGTCTCTCAAAAAGCAGCACAAAAATGCTGCTTGCCTCCAATATTAGATATCTGGAAGAAACACAGAGAGAGATGAATATCAGAAATTACGCTTCCTTATATTAAGGCTAATTTGCCATCATTCTATCATTGATGTAACTAAGCAAAGGGACTGACAAGTTACAGTTTGCTTCTTCTTTACAAAGACTTTAAAACATAGTAGACACACATGCAGGAACCTTTTGCAACAAAAGAAGTTGTAACCAGAAATAGAATGGATTAAAACTATAAATATCTGATCATCGGTTACAATTACTTATAAAAATTCTAATTACATTTTTAAAATCCTTAACAATCTATAAAATCATTCATCACAGAGATGTAGAAAATTCCTTTGCAGAACCCCCCCCCCCAGAAAATATCACATGATTCATATAGAAGATTTATAGTTATATCAAGCTTTGACAATCACTGAGGGATTGAAAGGCAACAAAGACGTGGTTCAGCTTTGGTTCCAGTTTTGTTCTGCTTATAACCGCCCAAATGTCACAAGTAGGATTGGGGAAGGCTAATCAGATCCTCCTTGTATAGTGTAATTTATCGATAGTGTAAACTCAGTGCTGAAATGAGGGGTTCTTAGTGCTCTCTGAGCTTGGTTGTTTCCTTGCAGATGTTTAGTTTGAATAATGAAACATCTGCAAGAAAACAATCAAGCTCAGAGTCTATGGCAGAGGCCTTCAAACTTGGCAGCTTTAAGACTTGTGGACTTCAATTCCCAGATTTCTATGCTATGCTGGCTGGAGAATTCTGGGAGTTGAAGTCCACAAGTCTTAAAGCTGCCAAGTTTGAAGACCTCTGGTCTATGAAGTTTCTCAGTCATCCAGGTAATGGTTGTCCCAAAGGTGCTTTTTTTTCCCCAAGAGGCAACTGGGCTTTCTGGTTTTTCTTTGAAGACGTTTCGCTTCTCATCCAGTAAGAGCCTTGGTGGCACAGCAGATTAAAAGCACTGTTAAGTAACATCAGCTGCCTGCAATTACTGCAAGTTCAAATCTCACCAGGCTCAAGGTTGACTCAGCCTTCCATCCTTCCGACGTAGGTAAAATGAGGACCCGGATTGTGGGGGCAATAAAATGACTTTGTATAAAAAAAGAACACCGCTTGTGGGGGGGGCGAAAGCCCTACTAAGCAGGTATATACAAAAGTGTGAAGGCTATTGCTTAACGCATTGTAAGCCGCCCTGGGTCTCCGGAGAAGGGCGGCATATAAATCGAACCAATAAATAAATCGAACCAATAAATAAGCTTCTTCAGCTCTGGATGAGAAGCGAAACGTCTTCAAAGAAAAACCAGAAAGTCCAGTTGCCTCTTGAGGAAAAAAAAAAAGCACCTTTGGGACAATCAAGTTCAGACAGCACTAAGGACCCCTCAATGCAATCTATCTCTGAGCAGCACTTACAGCCCATACATTTTCGTTTTGTTAGCCGCTGCAAGGAGCTGGACCTTTGGGCTTCCTGCTGCTGCCGCTGCTGCCGCTGCCGTTGTACTTAGATTAGATAAATGCAAAAATCAAGATGAGATTCCCCTTCTCTCTCCAAGAAAAAAAACTCACGGGACCAACCTGACCAATTACCGGAAGAAGGCTACAGAGCCATAGCGGGGGTCCGCTGCAGGCTGAGCCGATCCCGCCTTCTTCTTGCTTCCTTGGCAACCGGCGCTTTCAAGGACGCCATGAAACAGTTCGAGGACAACGGGTGGCGATAATGTCCAATTAGCTGTCGGGAAAATTCGCAACGCCCTCAATCTTAATCCTGAAAATTCTTTTGAAAGGTTTTTGGCCCAAGCGGCCACCATCCTCGATGGGGGAGGCGTGGTCCTCGCTTTTCCTTTTTCGTCTTTGCACACTTCCGCCCTTCTACAAGAGGCACGAGATTCCATCATGGGTTGGGAAGAAATCTCTGTGCACGGATACGAGGAGTTCGTTCGGGTCGCCCGCGAACAGGAACAGCGCGGCCAAGTATTCGTGTATTTTAGCGGTGACAAAGATCCAGACAGCGGTACTAGTTGGTGCCCAGATTGTGTTAAGGGTAAGCCATCTCTAATCATTTATACGAATGGCTTTCTCCACCGCCTTTTCCCTGCAGTCATATACTGTAAATGTAAGCTGCAAAGGGTTTTGACCAACAAGGTCTTTCTCAGGTTTAAATATTTCTAATTTCTTCTGTAAAATGGTCGTTGGTGAACTGCCTTAAAAGGTTACTTGATAAGTTGTCTGATAACTTTTGAGGAATTTAAAAATCGAAGTTTATTAGTCCATTCGCATATACAGGTGTCACTGGCGCATGAACTAGTACTAGTGGGAAACCGAACATGATTTAACCCAGTTGGAAGGCATCTTGGAGGTCTTCTAGTCCAACCCCCTGCTTAGGCAGGAACCCTATACCATTCCAACCAAGTGGTTGTCCAAAATCTTAAAAACTTCTATGTTGGATGCTCCAGTTTCGTAGAACTAGTGAAACTGGGAGAGGATACTACAAGTTGGAAAGGAGGGCATGGAGATGAAAGTTGCAGTATAACTGTTTCTTCTGTAAGGTCTAATTGGAAACCTTTTTTTTTTATCCTAGCTGAACCCATTGTACGAGCTGAACTCCCAAACGTGCCAGATGGATCTATATTCATTTACTGCCAAGTAGGACCCAGAAACTAGTAAGACATTTTGAAAAAGGTGGTAGAGTTACTTTGGTTCAGCCAACCAAATAAGTATTGCATATATGGTTCATAAGTGTTAGTAACATTTAGCCTGTTGTCAGGTTGTATGAGGGTCTTAATGTAGTGAAGATATTTAAAAATCCCCATGTGCAGAATGTTCTCTATCAGAAAAAAAAAATCTTAAGGAACTCCTAAGTTACAGAAATACTGGCTTTAGTTTAAGTGCAATTTTGAGACAGAGGACTATTCAGATCAGATCCTCTGCAATCATTTCCTACTTATACTTTCCTTTCCTTTCTGCCAGATCTCTTATCAGCTGAACTTTACCATTTTGAACTCTGAAATTTGATTATATAGCTGCCCATCTCACTGTTACATGATTCTAGGTAGTTTACAATAAAACAAATAGGTTGTATTTGCCAAGTATTATATAAATTTCTAGATCTTTCCACTCACTTGGGACAGCACACAAAAATTAGAAATGGAATGAATATTTAAAAACCCATTGTAAATAGCAGGTATTCCAACCAAGAAGACACACCTACTGGGTCCTATAAGAGAGCACTACTTAAAAGATGGTATCTGAGCATGCCTATTCTGCTGCATTTGAATTTTACAGAAACAGTTGGAGAAAGGCATTCCCTAAAATAACCAGGCCCTATGCTATGTAGCGCTTTATAGCTGATGATCAGCAACTGGAAATATGCTGATACATACCCATAGCTTTTTTATACCGCTGCATTCTGGACCAACTGTTATGCATTGTTTGAATCTAAAAGATTTCAAATGTACAATTGACTGCAGTTTATTTTCATGATTTCCACACATAGCAACTGTCTTGTGTATTTGCAAAATCTTGCTTTTCCCCACCTGAAAGTTGTTTTTTCTGAAACACAGCAATGTTTGAAAAGATGATTGAGTGCACTGTACTCATCTGTCTGGATCACATCATGTCAAGGGTAATTTACTTTTATCAAAAGTTTGCCTTTCTCAGTCTGTCAAATATGGCAACTTATTTGTTAAATATTAACAAAAATGGTTTTCTTTCAATATTCAAGTATATTTTAAGATATAAAACCATTATTTTATTTTCTCCATAGCTGGAAAAATCCCAATAACGAATTCAAGAAGAATCTTAAGTTAACTGGTGTGCCTACACTTCTCAAATATGGAACTGTAAGTATATACTGTACATTTTCTAATTAATTTTGAAAGAGTCAAATGTGGTCAAGAGCCTGTAGTACTTAGACGAATTGCCAAATATTTCTTCTCTATTCTTAAGTCTGGCTTTATTGCTTTCAACTAAAAATGGAAAACCTATAAAGAAATTATATTTGCAAAAAATTGGTCTAATTCTGTATAAATCTCACAAGCGTCCAAAGAGTTATTTTCTGAACAAAGTGGTATCTTAATGGATAAACTATTTCTCATTTGTGGTAATTGAGTAATTTAGCAGATATAATTTTGTGTCTTCTAAAAGTCCAGCTGGTAGCCAAAAAGGGATTGTGGGAGTACTAGAAAAACTGGAAAGAGTACAGTTGAGAAAAATGTATCCAAAAATAAGCTATGTAACTATTAAGTTACTTAGCAATATAACAACAGTACATAGAAAGGAATATTTCTACAAAGGACTTGGATCTCCTATCATACTTGGAAAAACAATAATATATCCTAACTTTTGTTTCAGCCTCAGAAGCTGGTGGAAGAAGATTGCTTTAAATCTGACCTTGTGCGAATGCTATTTACAGAGGACTGAGTAATTGAAGCTATTACCAGCAGAGGAAGTGCTTTTAGATGAAACCATTGTGTCAAACAGTACGTGAATAAATCTGTAATCTAAGCCATCAAATTTAAATAAAATCACTGTAAAACTGGACTCTGTATCAACTGAAATTGTGGCTAGTTCATATGAACCAATTTGCTGGAGACTTGATTATCTACTCATAAAATTAGATTGGATTCCCTTAGTTTCACTGTCTAAAGCAAATATATTTTAGAAAGAATTCAGGCTTCTGCAATAATTTGCTATTCTATATATTTTCAATGAACGTCCACTGCAATAAAGACTGTTGAATTTCTTTTAAAGAGTAAATTATATAGCTTCATTACTTAGAATAGTTTATATTCTATATATTTTATATTGTTCTTATATTTAGTGAACTTCCAAAGTTAGGGAATACGAGGACAAGGATGAGAAAGTAAAGTTATTCTATACATTTACAATGATCAAGAAAATGACTTAGAAAAAGATTTGTCTGAGGACTAGAATGATTAATAGCATAAGGAAGCAGACTTTAAATACCAAAGAAAAATAATTGAGATTAACAAACAATTACTAAAGTGAATACCAACACTGTTTAGATGTAAAATATCTAGCTTTAAATTATCTCTATCAGGTCTAGAGGAATCTGGGTTCCTCTAACATTTGCCAACTGTTACTAGCACATTACTCCAAAGTCTCCCTTGAGGCAGGTTCAGAAAATCTAAAATGTATTTTCTTATCAATCTACAATTCAAGGAAATTTAAGTTAAAAGCTAAGAAATTCTCCACTGTATGCTATGTAACTATTTTAACTGTAGAATTGGAAGAGACTGCAAGGATCATCTAGTCCAACCCTCTAAAGCATGTAGGACAACTATTTAAACTATCTATGAAAGGTGGCTACCCAGTAAACCTCAAGTTGCCTGGCTAAGAGTGATGCTGTAAACTATAGTTAACAAGTTTTTCCACCTGTTGCAGTTATTGCTGATGCTTTACGTCCAAATCACAGGATGTAAGATTACAAGGCTAATTCCTATGGATTAAGAGATAGCCAGAACACCATTTACTAAGACCCACAAATTAGCATACAACAAAAATGTTTAGCCACTTTTACTTCACAGTAAATGTTCCAAAATACTCTTCTGCTATACAGTATCAGGAAACACATCTACACCTTTAAATCAGGATATAAGAAGAATCTCTTTCATCTTGAAGAAATCATTGGCAGCAAATCTGAAATTCCAAACTGAAGCTGTTAAAACATCCACAATATTTTACTAACACCATCACCGTGCTAAGGCATTTCAGGTAACAATGCCCCAGATTAAATCCACAGGTTCCTTCTGCCCTTGCAAGGAGTTTTTGTAGCGCCTAATGGCTCACTTGACAGAGGTGCTGTTCTGCTGTTGCTGCTGCTGCTGTTCTGCAAGGGCCTGCTGGAGGCGCATCCGCTTGCGGGAATAATGTTGCCAGTGGAGTATCTGTTGCTCATCAATGAATTTTGCACACTGCGCATTCACCAGTTCTTTACGAAAATGTTCATATTGGAGCAGTTCTAGCATATGTAGGCATTGGGGATACCTTCATAATACAAGAATATATTATAAGATACTTTTTAATGCTTTTCCTAAGTCACCAGTACTCTTGACAACAAATAAAGAATTCTATAAGTAGGAAGGAATTGTAAAATATTCGGGTCGCTTAATTTGAAGCAAATTGCCAGTTTTCTAGTATATTTAGTAAACAAGCATGCATATTAATAACTATTTTGCAATTACATACAGGAGGAGGAGACCGGCAAGTGTTTCATAAAAATATAGTTTTATGCTATGTGTTATATGAACTCTAGACATTTAATACAAAAGAGATAACAATATTATAATACTTACTTTAGGTATTTGGCATACTCTGGTTCCTTCCAATAAAGCAAGTATTTTAAATAATTTACAAATGCTTTGTCTTTGAAGTATCCTCTCTGGGCAAGAACTAAAAGAGATATAAACATAAATTTACTTAAAATAGTTTTTCTCTGTATAACCTCACAACAATCTGTAAGGAAATTATTGTTAATCTTCAATGAAGGCACACAATATAAAATTACAAAACAGTACAGCTAGTCCTCACCAAATGTCCAGCTTTCAGATTTCAACAGTTCTAATATTAACTTTGAGGGTTTTTTATTCTTTTTTTTTTCATGTGTAACCTACCGTACAGATTTTAGTCAAATCAAACAAACAAGATTCAACTAGCTACCATCTTTGACATTGGCTTTAAAATATTTTGCCTATGAATTTTGGCCTATTTAAGAACACACACATTCATATATTTCTGGTTAGTTTCTATATACTTTACAGTTTTCAATTTTGTACATTTTGTATTGTAATTTCCTGTCTAGATTTCATGATGCTTGATTGAAGTCAATAAAGAGATCTTGATCTATATTATATTTTAGATACTTACAATTGAGGTAATTGGGGTTTGCCAGACACTGCACAAATTCCAGCTCTAGTTGGAAACGAAGTCTATTTCCAGTATCATCTGGGACAAAGATAAACGAGTGTGGAATTATACAATATATATTGCATGCATTAACTACCTAGTGATGAGTAGTTTTTATACCACTTAGAGAAAAATTGGGAAAAAATGGCAATCTATATACTTCAATCAATCAGAACAGAGCTGGAAGGGACCTTGGAGGTCTTCTAGTCCAACCCCCTGCTCAAGCAGGAGACCCTATACGAGGAGTGTCAAACTTGCGGCCTGCGGACCAGATGCATCACACACAGACCATACCCACCCCCAGTTTAGCGAAGGGGGGAAAGTCACAATACATCATGGGATGATGTGACGTCGCAAGTTTGACACCCCTGCCCTATACCATTTCAGACAAGTGACTGTCCAGTCTCTTCTTAAAAACCTTCTGTGACAAAGCACCCCCAACAACTGAAGGCAAGCTGTTCCACTGTTTAATTGTCCTCACTGTTAGGAAGTTTCTCCTCAATTCCAGGTTGCTTCTCTCCTTGATTAGTTTCCATCCATTGTTTCTTGTCCTGCCTTTTGGTGCTTTTGAAAATAAATTGACCCCCTCCTCTTTGTGGCAGCCTCTCAAATACTGGAATACTGCTATCATGTCCCCTCTAGCCTTTCTTTTCTCTAGACCAGGGGTCTCCAACCTTGGCAAAGCTGGCTGGGGAATTCTGGGAGTTGAAGTCCTGCAGGCTTAAAGTTGCCAAAGTTGGAGACCGCTGCTCTAGACTAGCCAACCCAAATGCTGCAACCGTTCTTCATATGTTTTAGCCTCCAGGCCTTTAATCATATTTGTTGCTCTTCTCTGCACTTTTTCCAAACTCTCAACATCTTTTCTGTAATGTGGTGACGAAAACTGGATGCCGTAATCCAGCTATACTCTTACTATGGCTTTATAAAGCGATACCAATACTTCACGTGATTTTGATTCTATATCTCTGTTTATACAACCAAGGATTATATTAGCTTTTACTTCCAAAACACTGGTCAAATGTGTGGGATTAATTCTAGAGGAACTAGTACCAATCACCTTAGGAGCCTTGGCATGTCTTTTAAGGTCTGTGAATAGCCAAGAAGCTGCTTTACGGATGATGTGCAAACATATATATATATATACATATATATATATACATATACATATACATATACATATATATGTTTTCTCAGGTTTTCGCGGGTGTTTGTATGTAGGTCTTTGGTTATTCGGGTCTTCTCCCACGTAAAATTGGAAGTGTCTTGGCGACGTTTCGACGAAGTCTCATTCGTCATCTTCAGGCTGGTGTTCTCGGCTTCGTGCTTCCAGGAGCAATGTGAGATCGCAGCTGTCTCTTCCTTTTAACTGCTAGTGGGGGTGTGAGCTGATTGGGTGGGAACTTGGCTGTGTTCTGATTGGGTGGAGGTGTGTTCTGATTGGTTAGGGGCTTGGCTGTGCTCTGATTGGCTGGGGGTGTGTTCTGTTTGGGTGGGGGCTTGGTTGTGCTCAGCTTAGTCTGAGTTGCAGGGGGATTTGAGCTGGTGAGCTGCGTTGTTGTTGTTTGGCTTCGTGTTTGTGGCCGTGCGAGCTCTTCATGGTGGGTGTCAGTCTGCTTCATGTATGGATTGGAGGGGTTTAAAGTGGCTAATGATGCAGCTGCGGTCTGGCTTCTGGTCCTTGGTCGTGGCTCATTATCAGTGTGGGTTTGAGTCTGCTTTCTGCGTGGATGTGTGGTGGTGACATCAGGTGTGGCACTCGTGAGTGTGGGTCTGGTGTCATTCGTCGTGTTAGGGACTCGTTTGTCAATAAGGGCGGGTTTCCAAATGGCTGGTAGGCGGGAGGTATCGTCTCGTTTGTTCATGCTGTGTGGGCGTTTTTCTATCTCGATGGCTTCTCTGATTATTCTGTTGTTAAAGTGTTCAGTTTTGGCGATAGTTCTGGTCTTTTTAAAGTCAATATCATGTCCTGTGGCTTTAAGGTGTTGGACCAGGGAAGAAGTTGGTTCCTCTTTTCTGAATCGTACACGAAGAGATTGAAAATGAAGGCACCAACCTGAATTGTTAAAGAGTTTCCGTTGTTTCATTTTCTAAACTGAGGCTTCAACATCTTGATCTGACAGGGATTTCTCTTGGAAACAATAACTGCCACCTTCTCCTTCCGTGTTGGAGGTAAAGGCAGCCAACTCAAAGGCTCTCACATCCCTTATGGTTGGTACACAACTTTTGGAGTTGTGATTCCAACCAGGAGTGAAATTCAGGAGGTTCTGACAGGTTCTGAAGAACCAGTAGCGGAAATTTTGAGCAGTTCGGAGAACCGGCAAATACCACCTCTGGCTGGCCCAGGAGTGGGTGGAATGGTGATTTTGCAATATCCTTTCCCCCAGCAGTGGGGAGGGAATAGGGATTTTGCAGTATCCTTCCCCTGCCATGACCACCAAGCCACGCCCACCAAGCCACACCACACCCACCAAGCCACGTCTACAGAACCCGTAGTAAAAAAATTTGGATTTCACCACTGATTCCAACCATGACACCTCTCTCTCTCTCTCTCTCTCTCTCTTCTCTCTCTCTGTCTATCTGTCTATCTGTCTATCTGTCTATCTGTCTATCTATCT